TAGTTTTGTCATGATTGCTGAGTTGTATAGATGTGTGGAAAATTAATTTTTTAATATTTTTTTTGATAAATAGTAATAACTTTTTAGGTTACGTAGAGACTCAAAATCCACTAGTGGGTATGTCTTTACCCTTGGTGGTGCGGTTGTATCTTGGAAATCTTCCAAACAAACTTGCATTGCTAGGTCTACTATGGAATCAGAATTTTTATCTTTAGATAAAGTTAGGGAAGAAACAGAATAGCTTCGCCACTTCCTTGAAGATATTCCAATGTGGCCAAAACCGGTGCCTGCTATATGCATATGTTGTGATAGTCAATCAGCAATACGTTAAGCACAAAGTCATATGTATAACGATAATTCGCGACATATTCGTCGTCAATATAACACCATGAGACAACTACTCTTTAATGGAATTATTTCCATTGAATGTATGAAGTCTAACAACAACATAGCGGATCCACTAACCAAAAGGTTAGCAAGAAAGTTAGTTGAGAATTCATCGAGAGGAATAGGACTTAAACCTATTAAATAAGAGTTACCACAACGGCAACCCAACCTAGTTGATTGAAGATCCCAAGATCTAAGTTCAAAGGGACAACCGAGTTGTGCATGACTCATAAGGATCACTGGGGAGTCAAACTTCTACCCATTTCTATGATGAAATAGTGATGTCTGCAGCGTTTTAGGTTAAGTAGTTCTTTTAATGCTTCTTATATCTAAGAATACCTAGTGAAGTATGGTAGAATACTCTTCATAAGAATCACCTATATGAGTGTGAACTGGGCTGGTTCTATGAGATTTGTGAAGGGTTACAATTTTCTGAAGCACTCATGAAAGGCTAGGTTGTTCAGGGCCAAAATGAACACAATAGTGAGAACTAAATTGTGTTTGGTAATATATTGTGTGAGGTCTATTGTCTTGGATTACACAAATGACTGAACAGTTCAAGACATCATGTTCACTAGCTAGCTACTAAATCCGATAGTGTCTCACAAGGGAATGTTCAAAGTCAAAAGATACCTATCCTTTTCAGAATATCACCGATTTTTGTACTCTCTATAATTAGATCATGTTGTTGCATTTTCTATTCGTCAAATTCCATTTATGTGGGGAATTGTTGGATTATGATTTTTTATAGGCTTATTTTAGGCCAACTTTAAACTCAAATTTGAGTGGAGCCCACACGTCTTCTGGGATGGGCCCAAAGAAGTGATGTGTTCCTTACCACATGAGAAGTCACATGGTACAAACGGTTCATCAAAACCATTTATGAATGAATGAGAAGTTATTTTTTTTCGAGTTCATGGAATAGACAATTAAAGAGTAAAATGTGGATTTCCTTGAAATGTCTGTCTCACATTGAAACTTTAAGAGAGCTTGTATGTGTTTATAAGCTCTAGGTAGACAAACTTGGGTTGGGCCCAAAGGGCACCCAAGTTTGTAGAAGGGAGGAGTTATGGACAAAGTAGGCTTAGGCTTAAACCATTACACGTACACGTGCGCTGCCATCGCTTTCCATTCGACCGGCCGACCCAGCCGTGTCGGGCGCGGGTGTGGATCGGGTTGGTTATAATATTAATTTTTTGGAAAAAATTTATTTGAATTTTTTCAAATTGTTGTGGGAAAATTATTTAAATTTCTAAACGAGATTAATTCAACTTTTTGCGCCAAATTTGAATTCAAATTTTCTGTCCAAACATCTTCCGGTCTGAAATTTTCTTCCGCATTTTCTAGCAGATCAAACAGATTTGAAAAAAATAAACCTGCACCTATTCAGTTTGAAGTCTTTATCTGTTCAGATTGAATTTCATATGTTCGGTCCTTGATCAGACTTGTTCAATTCAAACTTGAACCTGTTCGAATATGCCAAACCGTCACCAACTTTCCTATAAATAGGAGACTTTTCCAACAGATTTTCACATCTAGAAAAAATAAATTCTCTTACCATTTTTGATCTCTGTTTGCATTGTTCTTCATTCTAGTTTTTAGAGAAATTTCTGAGAGTATTGAATACAGGTTCTGGTTCGCTGTACAGATTGTTTGGAGTGCTACTACAATCTGTGTATATCTTTGTATCTTGGGAGATAGACGCCATTTATTCATAAGCACCGGAACGGGGTGAATCTATCTTAAGCACAAAGTGTCACACACTCGACTTGATTATTTTTATACTTTTTCGTTTCGGTAAATAAATTCTGTAAGTAATTTATTTTCATTTGTTTGATATATTTCACATTATTTATTTTACATATAAGATTGTTTCAACACTAACATCATAAAAAAATAAATATATATCAACCAATTAATCCTACAACATGTATAAATATTGTAAAACAAACAAATAATATGAAAAAAATACATATCAACCGATCTAATCATGAAATAGACGACGAACACTCTAGAAATGAAAAAAAATGGAAAAACTAGTGACAGAAAGCTTCAAGCAAGCTCAAAAAATAAGTACTTGTTGCAAAAAAAAAAAAGACTCAATAAAGTTCACCACGAACAACTTGAAAAAACGAAGGGAGAGAGATTGGATTAATAAAAATAGCATATTATGAATCTCTTGAGAATTGAGGGTTGGGATTGAAAGATTATTTAGCTTCTCACCTTATGAAATGTCCAATTTAATATCATCATACTTATAATCTCATCTCATAATCCCATTTCATAGGCTCTCTAAACTCAACCATGAAATCCTAGAGAGAGAGAAAAAAAAAAGAAGCAAAGGTTTGCAAAATTAGGTCAAAGAAAGATTCAATCAAGAGATTAATTTTCGTCAAGACAATCTTTGTATATTCCTAGTCATCTAATATAAAAGCATGATTATATATATCCAAACACTTAGCAAAATAATTGAAGTTAATTTTACCTCATTTGTGGCATGATTCAAAGAGAAATGGTAATCGCGACATAAAAGAGAGGAAAAATGAGCCATGTCAGAATTGGTGGAAGTTTTAAAAATTGTGATATTTTTTTTCAAACTTCAAATCTCTGTAATTATACAATTTAATGGGCCCTTAAACATAATTAATCATTCTTAATCCACATTAACAATATAATGTTAATTTAAAATATTAACACAAAAAATTCAAATACTTGGCTTGGATATAAAAGAAGAAAATTAAAAAAAACTTCTCAAAAAAGACTATCACTTTCTAATCTAATCCACAACTACCCTGTAAAAAATGCAATGCAAAAAAAACAAATAATAATTTGCAAAACTCTCAACCATCATGGAAAACAAAATTATATTTTGTTTCAATTTTAGAATCAATTTAATTTTTTTTTTCTGGTTGAAAATCGAGAAACTAATTTGACAAAAATAAACACTAAAAAGAATATTTTAAACATCAAAAAGTAAAAGCATATGAAATGATGAGTGTTTTTGAGTTATTATTATTTTTTTCCAAAAATATTCAAAAAATAAATTCTAAAAACCAAGGAAATAGAATGCTTTCCAAATTTTATAAGCATTACGAAATTGAGAAAATTGGAAATATTATCAGTATACATTATTTTGTGTTCATAGACATTGTCAAATATTTTCAAAGTTCACATATTTTTGGAGGGCTACAACTAGAAATAGACTTTTAGAGTTGTTTATAATTGTTAGAACAATCCTATCTAAAAACATTAAAAAAAAAGAAAAAAATAAGGAAAAAGAAAAAAACGTGTTGTTTATGATTTATTTATGAGGTATTCAATTAAATATGTAATTTATTGACGAAGATTTTGAAATTTAATCTGAAATTGAAAGCCTTAATGATTTAAGAAACCAAAATTCACTACAAGAAAAGGGAGTAAAAAACACGGAAGTTTTTGCGACGGCGCGATTACCGTCGCAAAAAATGATTTTTAGCGACGGCGTTTTATACCGTCGCAAATAAGATCTTTAGCGACGGTATTTTACGGTCGGCAATAAAACTACACGGATAGGGATAAAAATACGGAAGTATTAGCGACGGCGTTTGTTGCCGTTGCAAAATTTTTTTTTGTTGAGACGGCATGAGTTGGTTGTCGCAAATTAGTGGTTCATTTGCGACGGAAAAATGTCCGTCGCCAAAAAAGCTTATTAAAACGGCGTCGTTAGCTCTAATAAGTTATCACTTGCGACGGGGCAAAAA